GGGCAGCCTTGGCGGAGTCCAACTCTCACTGGGAACGAGCCCGACTTACTGCTGGCAATGCAGTAAGTCTTATTATTTTTTTAAATGACCAGTCACTCTGAGTGTATTAAGCAGGTTGAACATGGAAATTGTCTTCTACCCCTTTTTTCTGCATTAGCTTCTGAAACAAAAAAGACAGAAAAACGATCCATTCAGAAAAGTCCGACAGGACAACATCACACTGTCAACTAGCATTCACGGACTCACCCATCTTGACTCACGATGGTGAAGGAAGTTGTTGGTTAAGCATCAAAGAAAGAGCAGATGCATGCCCTGACTAGTAGAAGCTAATTGTTAGCACACAGCTGAACTTCTTCAGGCTTGTGTTATTTGAGGAGATAAAACATGTAGCAACATGAATGGTCTCATTTGTGACCCAAAAGTCACACTTCCTCAGCTGGGTCAAGCTGTCCTGGCTGTACTTCTATCTACAGATTATCCATCACAGAAGACACAGAGTCTGCTGTAAACCATCTTTAATCTGACTGCTGTTCCATCCGCAAGACGAAGGACACTTCAAGATTTAAAAGAATCATTTTAATAAACTCTTTTCACTGTCTATTAAAATGTTCATAAATACTCATCAAGGTTCATTGTAAATGTATTTAATTACTGAAATGAATTATTATTATCTGATTAATAATAATAATAATAATAATAATAATAATTATTATTATTATTATTATGCCAATAGAATTGCTTCAACAGAAATGCCATCTGCAGCAAAGCTGATGCAAAAGTCCTTCAGAGTTAATTTTAAGATGCAAACCATCCACCTGTGTGTCTGCGGCAACTCTAGGACCAGAGAGTCAGTACCACTGGTCTACTCTACCGGACCGAGTACCCAGAGGCTGATCAACGTCCTCCCTTGACCTCCGGATCCGAACAGAGGGTCATCTGAACGGTGAGGTAGAACACAAGATTGCGTCTGGATGCCTGTTTTATTAAGAAATAATTTAGCTTAGCTGCAAACCAAATTCTTTCACCTGGAACGCGTTTTCTCTCTCTAAGATAAAAACCTTCTGAGACCTACATTCACACATCCAAACACACACTTCATTTTTAGTTTCATCCAGACACAGATTGCTTTAATACCAAGTTTTAATACCAAAGCTTTTATAAATTGTCATTTATGAATTGTCTTTTAAAATGGTCATCTTTAAATTGTTAGCAATAAATTCTTAACTTTATAAACCTGACTTCTTTGAAATAAAACACAGACTGGTGTATATTCATCACTGAACGAGCAAAGATCTCTTTAGATCTTCTGAATTAATAAACTTTTGCTATTAATTTAAATCTCTTAAATTAAACATTAATCTTTCGATTAAATATAGACCAAGCCAGTTGGTGTATGAACTTCTATCGATTATATAAATATCCGTGGATATATATATATATATATATATATATATATATCTATATATATATATATATAAGTTTCATTGCCAATTCATTTGATTTTTCTCAGGATTTAGCAAAGCTGAATAGCAACAGCGTTAAATTCTAGTTATGTAGATTAACAACGCTACAAACATCAACATTGCATGCAAACAGTCAGTGGTAGAGTTGCATTGCTGTTAGCCAATCAGAGGTGGAATGTCCAAATATCAGGAAATGAGACTCCAAATTTTGTCACCTTTTTCATCTCCGGCTGACTATGTCCTCAAACAGGAACATCTGGGCTTATTTCCCCAAGAGAACAACTTACAAGGCACCCATTCCTACTGGAGACCACTAGAAATGTAATAAAGGGATACGTTGCAACTTTTGCATATTTTTAATTTCTTACTTTCTTGAGTCACCTAAAATGACCATTTGCAGCCAGGATAGTCAATTTAAAAAACCCCGGAATTGAATAACCCTGATTTACAGAGTTAATGAAAATCCACCCAGCCCCTATTGAACCCTATGGCCAGAATATCCCACTTGCAACTTCAGAGTTGCTAATCTGGTCTGTTGGGACTTAAAGGGATACTTCATCCATCCTGACTTGTATTTATGCATAAACGTTATAAAAAGTTTCTCATGCTGAACAGCCTCAAAGCACTTACAATCATCAGGACTGCTAAGCTAATGTATACTACAAACTAATTTCAAGCTAAATGTTAGTGGGATTTGAAGGCTAATCTGCACCGCGTCATCATTGTACTCACTAAATATTAGGAATGCACCAATACCAATACTGGTATTAGAATTGGGCTGATACCAATACCGATACTGGTATTGTTATCAGGCCAAAACCAATACTAGGCAGGTCCCGTTCTGATATCGATATCGAAAGTAAAAAACAGTGCATCGGATTATATCAGGCGGCATCAAAAACCTCCAATATTAGCAAGGTTCCCATTTTTGCAACCTATGGTTAAGAAAAAAGTTTTCATTTTTTTCATACTTACTGTTATAGTTCTAATTTCCCCCTGGGATTAATAAAGTATCTTTGAATTGAATTGAATTGAATTATCAGCTCTTGTTCTCTGATTGAGTAATGTCACTTGATCAAGCCTTTTTATACACTCCACACTATGAAACAATTAAAAGTATGTATGATTTGTGCTGATATCGTATCGGATTGATATCAGTACTGGTCAATACTGAAGGCTGCAATATTGGTATCGTATCGGATTGATATCAGTACTGGTCAATACTGAAGGCTAGAATATCGGTATCGTATCTGAAGTGAAAAAGTTGTATCTGGACTTCCCTAACCAATACCGATACCAATACCAGTATTGGTATTGATAAAAGTTAACTGATACCAGAAACCGATACCAGTGCAATTTCCTGAAAGTGGCTTCAATGCAACTTGTCATTTCTGTTCACCTAATATTTTAGTTTTGTGATCATTTCTGTTGATATATTTTATTTTATGTCTACATCACAGACTTTTCCTGTTGAAAGCAGAGAAAAAATAGAACCTGTATTCCAATTCATTGCATTTTTTTGTGTAGTATCAGTATCGGTAACCGGTATTGGCAAGTACTCAGATCCAAGTATTGGTATCGTATTGGTTTGGAAAAAGTGGTATTATTCCACCCCTACTAAATATAATTATCATTTGAAACTTGAAAGGCTATATCTCCCGCCCCTGCTCCCCCTTTCCTTCTGGAAGGAGAGAAGTCCCGCTTCAAACCACACACGAGAAAACAGAAGGAGCTAAATCAATAGGACGATGTAGCGCAAGGTTGAACCCTACACACTAATCACTTAGGTCCAATACACAAAATATAAATCCCTTCACTCCCCTCCCTCCTCTTCAGTTAGCTTGACGTTTGCAAAGTGACCTCAATTCAATGCAGGTCAAGATAGCGTTCAAGCTTGCGCCATGGTAAACGCAGCATACAACAATTATACACTACTGTTATTTTTTTTAACATTGCTCATATTTTTTACGGGGGGGTTTGACAGTTTTGGCTTGCTTTTAGCACCCTCTAGTGTCTGTTTGTGGAACCGAAAGCAAAACTCATCTTCTTGCTGTGCGTTTGTCTTTTTAACACCTTAATCTAACAGCTGAAATGTCTCCCCAGCCTTCATTAGTGTCTACAGGAGTAATTCAGCACTAAACTGAACAAATCAGCTGTGTTCATGATCTAAAACATTTTTATTTATTCTTTATTTAACCAGGAAGGTCTCAATGAGATTAAAAACCACATTTTCAAGGGAGTCCTGTTAAGAGGCAGATAAAAGTTACAGTTACAAATTTTTTCTGTTACACAGACATGCTATGTACAAAATTACAGAATGCAGTTACAACACGGGTATTCCATCACAACAACGTAGTCAAGTATATAAACTTAGTTAATTTCCAGTTTTCCTGCAGCCTGTTCCATGCAGAAGGAGCAGAGTGGACGAAAGATCTTTTTCCCAGTTGGGTGCGAGCAAACGGAACACTAAGTAACAATTGATGATTTGCATGCAGACTGTGAGAATTTATCGCGAGATTAAGTTACAGACGTAGGTGGGTAGTAATCCAAGCATGGCCTTAGAAATGAAAGTGTACCAATGTCCCGACCTCCTGGTGGACAAAGAAGGCCAGCCCACTCAAGAATACAATCCACAATGATGAGTCAGTGGTCTACAGTTAGTAATAAACCTCAGCGAGGCATGATAAACCACACTGTGCTGAGGCATTCATAAACAAAAGGTCTCCATAATCAAGAATAGACAGAATAGTTGCAGTAACTAGTCGTTTTTTTTTTTGCTTCAAAAGAAAAACCAAATTTATTATGAAAAAACAAACCCAGTCTGAGTTTGAGTTTCATCATAAGATTATCTATCTGGGGCTTGAAGGAGAGGGAGTCATTGAGCCAGACATCAAAGTTTTTGTCTGTGTGGACCACCTCTAAATGCAGGACATGTGCTGTGACCAGACTGCAGCGCCAGGTATGTCAGCTCTTTATTTTTTAAGGATGTGTGATAACTGAGACTATACTTTATTTAATAAATGTATTTATAGAGATAATGCCTCCATGAGCAGCGACAGTAAAGGAAGGTGTCTCTGTGGGCCCCATTTAGAAGACTCCTATCAGATCAGATGGTGTTCAGTGACCTGGAAGGAATGAGTGATGCTCCTAAAATGGACTTGGACCATTGTTGAGCTTACAGTCAAGGCTGAACAGGTGACATCACAGTGAAAATAGGACTCTGAATCCTCCAACAGCTGCTCTCATGTCAGCTCAGTCAGAATGGAATGCAACTGAGCAGAGTTGTGTTTGCTTTCAGCGGCCCTCTGTAGACGGGCGCCTGTTACCAACAGAGATTCATGGTTTTCCTCCAAGTGAGAAGACTTTTCTGCAGATCATAACTCCTCTCATATGTGTAATCAGCTAGAATAACCCACAAACCGAAGAGTTAAACAAACTTCCACCTTCACGCGCTGGTGCTGCTTCACTCAAGTAGAACTGTTGGTGTGTGTGTGTGTGTGTGTGTGTGTAGGAAGCTTGGCTCTAACCCTTACTCACATCAGCAGCCTTCTTGTCAGCCACCTCCAGCTTCTCCTGAGCATCCTTCAGAGCTTCTGAGTACTTATCCAGCTCATCTTCTGTTCCCTTCAGCTTCTTCTGCATCTGAAGAAGTTCATCTTCATGCTGTTGGTGGAGAAGATTAAAGCAGAGCGGCACTGGCTCGTTTACTTAATTGATGATTTCTGTGTCCTGAAACTTACAATAAAGGTGAGGTAGTGTTGATTGTTAAGCTCTAGAATTACCATTTAAACTGCGAACTCACAATAAACATTTAGCCGCATTTAATGTTGTTATGAAAGTATTTTTACTGTATTACTTCACATTTGGTCCTCATATGTTTCGATGAAAGTCTGGAATTTGTCTCAGAGTTTTCCTGTAACCCTTCACACTCTTTCTGTTTATGAAGCAGCTGATGATAAAACCTGATGATGATGACTTCTTCATAAATCGTGTAAAAAACATTTTTAAATGTGTTCCTGCTTGATTGTGTAACAAATCAGCCAGACAGTTGTTTCTGACTAACCTGTTTACTCCTGTCCTCAGCTGCTTTCTTGTCAGCCTCTGCCTGCTCGGCTCGGTCCAGAGCGTTCTCCTTATCCAGCTTCAGCATCAGCATCTTCTTCTTCACAGCTTCCATTTCTACGGATGGAGATTTTTCAGACGATGAAGAGAAAAAGATAAAAGCAACAAGAAGACAGCTGTCCTGTGAGACAGGCGGAGAGACAAACCCCTCAAGATCAGAACAGTCCTTTTATATGGGGGGTGGGGGGTGACAACACTCCCACCCCTATGAGGACATCCCCTCTGCATCCATCTGAACATTTCTGCTGTAGAGTCTGTTGATCCTCACTTGCAGCAGAACAAGCGTCCACCTAGGTTAGTCTTTGAAAATGACTAAAATCCATCTGATTATTGGACACTTCCAAAGGGTTTTCCACCAAACTGGTGCCAGAGCTAATTTGGTGCTGGTGCCAGAGCTAATTTGGTGCTGGTGCCAGAGCTAGTGCTTTCTAAAACGGGTCTTTCAATGAACCGATTCTTTTGCCACAGACTCGAGGTTTTGTCAGTGCAGTTATGATGTCATCCAAAATGTCGGGACACACCTGTTTATACCCACATGAGAAGAAATCATGTCAATCTTGACTTCTGATTTATGACATGTAGAAATTAATCTTTTATTCCCCCGTGTGCTGTCCGGCTGTAAAGCAATCAGAATTGATGTCTGAGTGCCGAAGACAAGCCCTAAAGTTTTACCCTCACAGGTGGAGCTGTAATGCCTCGCCTGATACCAAAACATGTTCCCAGAAAACGGATTGTTTTAAAGCCCAACGGACACAAAGACAGAAACAAAAGAGAAAGGGGGAAAGGAATATGGGGTGCCATTTGTAAAATCAAAGAGTCATGCCTCAACAGCAGTGTTTTGGGTTATTTAGCCTATCATGAGGGGGAAAAACAAAACAGAGTTCATTTTTCATAGTCCTATTTTCACCACGTCATTCATACATTTATAAATGTTAAAGATCCCAACTAAATATTTAGTTAGCAAGCTATATATTTCATTTAGAGTTAAATATTTACCTTCCAAGGTAAATTCCATTTTTTTCTTCTCTTATGATAGACTAAAACCCATGCCACTGCTGTTAAGTTACAACTCTTTGATTTTACAAATGGCACTCCGTAGAGGAAAGAGGGGTTTTCAAAATTAAACAATGTGGAATGTACAAGAATCCGCTTCTAGATCTGCAGAAAAAGAGAAAAGAGAGAGAGAGAAAAAGGAGGACACACACAAAAATACAACAGAACCTAATTATCACTGCGCCAATCACAACAGTATAACAGTAACAATTTTTGCTGAAAAGCATACGATAATAATTTATAGTACGTTTAGTGCCAACCACAGCCTTAAGTTGTCAGAGCTCACCACTGTTGTCGGCGTCATTTCCACCAAACACCAAAAAACAAAATACAAAAAATGGATCTAGGAATCTATAGAAATAAGATGTGGACACACAACCATGAACAGGGATGGGGTCTATATGATAAATGACCCGCACTTGTATAGCGCCTCTCAGAGTAAGGACTCCAAAGCGCTTTACACTACAGTGTATCATTCATCCATTCACACACACATTCACACACGGATGGTGATGAGCTACAATGTAGCTACAGCTGCCCTGGGGCGCACTGACAGAGGCGAGCCTGCCGAGCACAGGCGCCACCGGTCCCTCCGACCACCACCAGCAGGCAAGGTGGTTTAAGTGTCTTGCCCAAGGATACAACAGCAGAATTCTCTGTCCAGAGCCGGGATCGAACCTTCAACCTTCCGATTACTGGACAACCTGCTCAACCTGTTGAGCTACTGCTCCTCTATACATTGGATCACGCACGGGATTGTGTCACTGGCGAGGGGAGCATGAACAGCAGAGGACGATGTCACCCTCCGTGGATAAACAGAGAAGAAAGTGACGCCAACAACAGCGGCGAGCTCTGAGTAAGGCTACGGCGCTAGCCAAAATGTCAGCAAAAACGACGTAAAACAACTCTTTGCTGTGTTGGAAAAATAACTGAGTAATGCAGCTTTGGTAATGGTTGTATCAGCATGTGTGCGGAGTTCTTAGCAAGCACAAGCTCTTTCCCAGCTTTGAGTTGGTGCTAGTGTAAGCCCCGGTTCAGAACCAAAAACTATTTAAACACTAAAATAAATAGCAGCGAAGCTACAGAAACAGAATATCCTAAATGCAGGGAACCAGGGGAAACAGGAAAAACATACAGATAAACCGATTACTGAAGTGCTCAGGGCAAAAAACAAGGCGACTGATAGGAGATGGCAAACTAAGACTTCAAATGATAAACAAGGAAAGTCAGTGAATAACCACAGTGTGACTCATTGAACATGAGTACGATATGATAAAGCTTGGAAAATAACACTAACAAACTAATGGGTAGAAACCTGACACGCGAAAATAACTTGAATAAAAAAGACATACTGGGAAAACCCGAGGAACAGAATAGGGAGATAGGCAGATCGTGAACATCAGGGGTGGTGCACCATCGTAGTGGGGTCATCACAACGTGGTTTTCATCCTGACCATGGAACGGTGGACGAAGGCTTTACACTCACTAGTGCTCTGGAGGCTCATTGGAGTTGGCCCAACTGGTCAACATGTGTTTTGTAGATCTTGAGAAGGCTGATGGCTGTGTCCCCAGTGGCACACTGTGGGGGATACTCACTGAGTATGGGATAGATGGCCCTTGACCTGGAGGAGAGGTACTACCTCAAGTGGAGGTGTTCATGTATCTGGAGGCCTTTTCACAAGTGAGGGAAGGAGGGAGTGGGAAACCAACAGGCGGATTGGAGCAGCATCTGCAGTAATGTCGACGTTATACCTGTCTGTTGTGGTAATGCGGGATCTAAGCTAGCATGCAAAGCTCTCACTTTACGAGACAATCTTCATCCAAATCCTCCTTAAGGTCATGAGTATTAAGCAGTGATCAAAGGAACAAGATCGTGAATTCAAGCAGCCAAAGTTTTCTCTGTCATGTGGCCAAGCTCAGACTAGAGATAGGCTAAGCTCAAGCATCCATGGCACGGCTCCTCAACGTTGAAAGGAACTGCCTACGAATGCCCCCTGAATCTATGACCAAAAATCGTTGCTGCAGAAATAATCTGATACTTGGATAGTGCGCTATTGTTTCAGTCCTAAACTGTGGACCTGTTGTTAGTCTTTTGTTCTAGTTGATGTGAACTGTTTAACCCGGATGCTCTGTGCTGCCTTCCTTCCCTAAGAGGTTAGAACATATAGAAGGGTTGATTTGAAGTGTGGAGGCTGTGAAGCGAAACACAAAGCAACACTGGGCTCAATCGGGGTTGGCATGCCTGCCTGGTAATACAACTCCAACACCTGACCTGTAATGACTATTACTGGCTCTCTCTGAGGGACGGATCAGTAACAGGACCACCAGGGTGAGTATTTCTCTCATCCCCAAACTCCACTATTAATATCCACCTTCTGGCTGACATTGTCAGGGGGATTAAAGCGTCTGCAGCACATGTACACGTTTACGTGAAGTCAGAACAAGAAGTAGTGGTTTCAGATGTACAGGAAAGTACACCATACTGTGGAGTAGGTGTGTGTTTAAAGTTCAGGTGAACTTTAGTCCTGAAAGTGTTCTCTCATTTCTCCTGAGATTTAAACACACACAGTGTGACTCATTGTGTCTACTATAATTAGTGGTGGATTATCCACAGGGGGCGCTGTGGCTCCGCCCTCCCTAATGTGAAAGAACAAAAACAAATCCAAAAAGCAAAAAATCTTGTGGACTTGAAGGAGGTGTTAACTCAAAGCATGGCCTGCATCTTTTTCTCTTCTCTTACCAACATTTCTTTCTCTCTGCTCTCTTCTCTCTTTCACCGAGGTCAAACAATTCCTTTTTTAACTTTTCTCCGGCCCTACTCCACCTCTCATTCTCTTTATGTTGGTATTTTGTCAGTTTTTCAGGGTCTGCATCCCACTGGCGCTGCAGCTTTTCTGCAGCAGACAGCTGTGCCATTCCCTGTTAAATACGTTCATGTTGTTTTAATCTGTCTTTTTTTAATTAAGTTTAAGAAACGAATGTAAAAATAAAAATACAAAAAGATTGAAAAACAACTTCCAATATATTCTAGCAATAGGTAATTTTCCTCTTATGTCCATGCTGTTTTCCACTGTGTTACTTGGTAACAGGTGATGGTAGCTCAGGGGTTAAATGTTTGCCCTGTCATTGGTGGGCCCTTCAAACCGTGTCCCCTACAGTCTTAAAGATTAAAGTCCCATAGTTCTCACACACACTGGTGAAATCAAAATTGTACTCTGCATTTGATCCATCTCTGTGGAGAGCAGTGAGCTGCAGACATGGCTGTGCTCTGGAACTATTTGGATGGTTTAACTCCCCAATCCAACCCCTTAAAGCTGAGTGTAAAGCAGGGAGGAATTGGGTACCATTATTAAAGTCTTGGGTATGACCCGACCGGGATTTGAACTCCGATCTCCCAATCCCAGGTCACCTACTCTACCACTAGGTCACTGAGTCACATCAATTGTTGTGTCCTTGGGCAAGACACTCCACCCTCCTTGCCTGCTCTGTGGTCAGAAGGACCAATAGTACTAGAGTACGACCATGGACTTTTTCCAAAGTCAATTTTCGTCCCCTGCACTTTTTTACCATCCCAAAACATTTTTACGATGTTTTAAATAGACACTGGTTGAGCACCAGGAACAAGGGGAAAACAACCACTAGTGTTGAAGCCTGTTTCCCATTAGAACCACCCATAAGCTCATCTATTGGCTCTGCTGATACTTGCTAATGTGTGATTGGCCGTTCCTGCAACCTGTGTACTTGACAGTTCTGCATTCTTGACATTGCATTAAAGAGCCTCTAGGCTGTTTTATACATATTATTTGTATACTTACTGTAAAGCTAATAATAATAATAATAATAATAATAATAATAATAATAATAATAATAATAATAAGGTTCCTGGAAACCCAACAATCCAAGAAATCCAGAAAACTGTTCTTCTCGGAAGTGCCCACATCATCAGAAGGACGCTTTCCATAAACTAACCCTGAAACTGCCTTAGAAGCATGGATTGATTCTGGCACTTCAGTGAAAGCATACAAATATACAAAAAAATATAATAATAATGATAATGATAATAATAATAATAATAATAATAATAATAATAATAATAATAATAATAATAATAATAATAATAATAAT